CACATCTGGAGGTGTCCTTGAGACCAGGAACCTGCTGGTGTTTATCTGTCTGTGTTGTGAGTCATTTCTCCCTGAATAAACATCTATTCGGCCTATTTGTTTCTCCTGATCCTTATTAAACATCAATAGATAGTCACATAAGAGAATTACCAGCACAACTGAAAGCCTTAGAACAAGAAGAAGCTGGGGCTGGCGCGGAGGCGGGACAAGACCAGTGGCGGGCAGAAAAACATACTCCTTACATATGGCACCTCAACATGACTAATAAGGAATTCTTCAAACCTTTCAAAGACCTACAGAATATGGCATTTAAAGTGGTTTAGGGTTTTCTTGACAATGAGGCACAACTGCTCCTGGCAACACCACTGCATCAGAAAAGAAGATGGACATCGAAGAAACACGTTATGAAGTTTACTTCCAATATGGCAAGACTAGACATTTGGACAAGATATTGCTCTTGTCTGGACTGTTTGACTTTATGCTGTATAAACTGGACATTCAGGACCCACAAGAAAGTGACTGCTGATACAAGATGGACATTGCTACAGAGTTCCTGCTTCATGGAAGACTCTGCAAGACAGTCTGCTGGACACAGACAAAAGTGACTGACAAATTGCCAATACAGATGGACAGTTTAGTTTCCTCCTTTGCTGAGGAGTATGCTAGACACACTATGGCCTACAGGCTGAAGATGGAACATTACAGAAGAACTTTGGGTGACTGACCAGGCAAATTGTCTCTGTCATTTCTAGAGTTTATATATTATCCTTCTGTGGTCTTTGATGGAGTTGAAGACAGATAGTTATGGTTATAATTTTCCTTAGTTAGGATTAAAGATAAGTTACACATAAGACTTTAGACTCACAAAGATAGGATAGATGATAGAATATTTTCTTTAAATCTTGCTAAATGTTAATGAACTAAATATGGCCCAGGGCCAGATGGCTTCAGTGCAGAATTCTACCAGAAATTCATGGAAGAACTAATACCAATACTCCTCAAATTGTTCCACACAATAGAAACAGAAGGTTCCTTACCAAACTCTTTCTACGAGGCCACAATCACCTTGGTACCCAAGCACTGACTTTAAGCTCTACTACAGAGCTATAGTTCAGAAAACAGCCTGGTATTGGCACAAAAATAGACAGGTAGACTAATGGAATCAAATAAAAAATCCTGATATTAATTCACACACCTATGAACACCTGATTTTCGATAAAACAGCTAAAAGAATACAATGGGGGAAGGAAAGCATCTCCAACAAATGGTGCTGGCACAATTGGATGATGGTGTATAGAAGACTGCAGATAGACCCATGTCTATCGCCACACACAAAACTCAAGTCCAAATGGATCGAAGACCTCAACATAAATCCAGCCACACTGAACCTCTTAGAAGAAAACCTGGGAGGTACCCTTGAACAAATCGGTATAGGAGACTGCTTCCTGAACATAACTCCAGTAGCGCAGACACTGAGATCAGCAACTAATAAATGGAACCTCCTCAAACTTAGAAGCTTCTATAAGGCAAAAGACACAGTTGACAAGACCAAGCAGCAGCCCACAGACTGGGAAAAGATTTTCACCAATCCTACATCTGACAAGGGGCTGATCTTCAAAATATACAAAGAACTCAAGAAACTAGTCAACAAAACACCAAATAATCCTATTAAAAAATGGGGTACAGAACTGAAGAAAGAATCCTCAATAGAGGAAATCAAAAAGGTTGAAAGACACTTAAGAAAGTGCTCAACATCCTTAGCTCTGAGGGAAATGCAAATCAAAACAACTTTGAGATACCATCTCACTCCTGCCAGAATGGCTAAAATTAGAAAGACCAATGACAACTTATGCTGGAGAGGATGTGGAGAAAGGGGAACACTCCTCCACTGCTGGTGGGAGTGCAAACTTGTACAGCCATTTTGGAGATCAGTATGGCGGTTCCTCAGGAAAATGGAAATTAGTTTACCACAGGACCCAGCAATCCCCCTGTTAGGCATATACCCAAATGATCCACATCCATGCAACAAACACATGTGTTCAACTATGTTCGTAGCAGCACTATTTGTAATAGCAAGAACCTGGAAGCAATCTAGATGCCCCTCACTGAAGAATGGATAAAGAATATGTGGCACATCTATACAATGGAATACTACTCTGCAAAAAAAAAAAAAACGGAATCTTGAAATTCACAGGCAAGTGGATGGTAACCAAGTACAAAAAGAGGGACATAGTATGTACTCGCTCATATATGGATTTTAGACCTAGAGCAAAGGATCACCAGCCTATAATTCACACCACCGGAGAAAGTAGGATACAAGGTGTATTCTAAGAGATTCATATAAGGTCCCTCACAGAAGGGAGAAGGGACAAGTCCTCCAAAGGGGGAAGTGAGGGCACAGTGAATGGAGAGAGAAGTAGGAGAAAGAGAGGGGGAGAAATGGAAAACACATGCAACTAGCAAGATTGAGTAGTCAGGGTAGGAGTAGAAGACGAGAGAGAGAGAGAGAGAGAGAGAGAGAGAGAGAGAGAGAGAGAGAGAGAGAGAGAGAGAGAGCATAAAAGAGGGAGCCATTATTGAAGAGAAAACTGAACCTAAAGAAAGGTCTAGAGACCTACAAGACTGCTGCCAACTAACAATTTGAGCAACCATGGAAAAGCTACCATAAATGTCCTTCCCAGATAATGAGATCAACAACTAACTTGGAGCCCTCATCTAGTACCTGTTGGAAACAGAATCAAACACCCATAATTAAACACTGAGTCGAAATAGAACCAGATGCAGATGGAGAGGACAAGACCAGGCTGCAGAAACACATAGAGACTGCTGACCTGAACAATGAGGAGCTAACGGGCCCCCCAGACTGATAGCTGGGAATCCAGCATGGGACTGACTCAGGCCCCCTGGACATGGTTCTCAGCTAGAAGGCCTGAGCAGTCTAAGGGACCTCAGACAGTGGAACCAGGATGTATTCCTGGTGCACAAAAGGACCTTTCGAACACATCCCCCATGGAGAGATACTCCCTTAACCTAGAGACAGGAGAGACATCCTAATCCATACTTCAAATGACAGATTTACATGACCCTACCTGGATGGCATTGCCCTACATGTGGAATTGGGGTGGGGGATGGGAGGGGAGGGTGGTCAGGGTGCATGTGAGGGGGTTTAGAGGGTAAGAGGGAGGGAGGGAGAGGGAACTGGGATCGACATGTAAAATAAATAAATATAAACAAAAATAAAAAATAAAAATAAAGCATGTCTTACACTACATTACCACATTCCATGTTGGCCTGAGATCCATGACAATTCTTCTGCCTTTACCTCCCAAGTAAAATAAAAGCTGGAATTACATGCTTGAACCATCACACTTGGCTTAGAAAGCATTTGGGGACTACAGAACACAATTTTGAAAAGAAAAGAAAAATTCAAGGCAATCAATACTTATATCTCTAATGGTTTTACTGTGAAAGCTGAGACCAATACATTCCATTTATCTCTACTACAGTTTGCTTTAGTCACTGGGATAGGACTGTTAACATTAGATGGATGTAAAAGGTTACAAATTACCATTTGAGCAGTTATTATCTTTTAGTAACAAAACTTGTATTAAGTTATCTACCTTGCTGTTGTGACAAAAGGAAAGGTTCATTTTGACTCACATTATGGGGTACAGTCTATCACTGTGAGGGAGTCAATTTCAGGAGCTTTAGGCAGCTGCATCTGTATCCATTACATCTGCAATCAAGAAGCAGATAAATGCCTGTGCTCAGTTTGCTTTCGGCTTTTATTCAATCTGGGACTCCAGCCCAAGGAATGTTACTGCCCACATTTAGGATGGGTTTTCCCACTCAACTAACCTAATTTAATAATCCCTCGCAGGCACGAACAATGATTTGTTTCCACGGTGGTTCCGAATCCCATCAAAGTGACTATCAATATTAACTTCCACAGAACCAGAAAGTTAAGGCTAGATATTTAAGATTATTTTCATTTTGTGTATGTGAATGTCATGGTGTTGAAGTGACACAGAGATAAGAACAGGGCATCAGATCTCTTGGAGCTGTCATCTCAAGTGGTTAGGAGCCATCTGACTAGATACCATCCTGAAGGGCCTGGCTCTCTGGTCAGGGGCTGCTGAAAGTATTGGGATTAAAGGTCTGGTCTACAAAGTGAGTTTCAGGGCAGCCTGGGATACATAGATCCCATCTCAATAAATAAACAAGTAAATAAGTAAATAAACAAACAAACAAACAAGTAGCCGGGTGTGGTAGGGTACACCTTTAATTCCTGCACTGGGGAAGCTGATCTTTGAGTTCAGGGACAGCCTGGTCTACAATATGAGTTCCAGGAATACAGAGCGAGACCCCGTGAATACAAAGCGAGACCCTGTATCAAATAAATAAATAAATAAACAAACAAACAAACAAAAGCCACGTCTTGTGATCTCCGTGCATAAAGTCTAATTTAAAGGGGATAGATACGCCCAAGAGGGAACTATCGCCAAGTTCCCCAAAACCTGATGATGGGGTTCTTCACGTTTGCACCGTCTTCAGGGCGTGTCCCTCCCACACCGTAAAACAGCAACAGCAACACATCCGGAGAGTCGAGGAATCGACCGCTCCGACAGAGCTTCCAGCCACCAGTCACCAGACAGCCCTTGCCTACCCTGACCCAGTGCTTATCTACCCAGCAGAAAGACACTTCCAGCGTGCGGGGCAGTGGCGTCAAAGACTCCGGGATCAAACCGGAAACAAGCGGAGTGGGGGGAGGGAGGAGGGACTCCTCAAACAAAAAGGCTCCCGAACGTCACAGCGGGCCTCCTGACAGCCCCAGTTTCCACGCCAGCGGAAGTCACTTCTGCAACTGGGCGGAAATCCCGGCCGGGACTTGCTTCCCAGCAGCCAATGGGCTCTGCCCACCTCTAGTGGATCTTCCTGCGGAGGCCTGTGACGTAGGGGCGGGGCGGGGCGGGGCGGGCGACGACTTCCGGGAGCCGGGGGGCGGGGCCTGGTCGTCCCAGTGGTTCGGAAGCGGGCCGGTGGAGGCAAGATGGTTTACATCTCGAATGGTAAGTGAAGGCTTTAAACCTGGGGTTCTTCTGACCTAGCCCGCCGGGTCCGGAGCGCGGGGCGGCCTCCCCCACATCAGTGGCCGGTGGCCAGGAGGAGCGGGAAGCGAGGGCGGCGGGACCCGATGGTGTATCCTACCCTGGCTGCCGCCCCGGTGGTCACCGACCCCGGAGCCCTGCAGAGGCCGCCTCACATGCAGGCGGCTTTCCCCGGTAACGACAGTGATGCTAACCCGGTGTACAGAGCTTTCGTTTGGGGCCTCTGTCACAGCATTCTCTGCGTACCATCCCATTCGTCCTTGTAACCGTCCTATTCGGATGGTATCTTACTTACTAGCCCAGTTTTGGGATGCAAACTGAGACTCAGGTTAGATTGAATAGCCCACTCAATATCACAAAGGCAGTCTATGACTTCGGTCGAACTAGGGCTGGCTCCAGGATTGCCTACCACACTGCCTCTATGATGTGTAAAATAGTAACAACAGTAACGCAGAACTAGCACGAACGTGAAAAAAATTTTTGAGACAGGGGACTCATTTTGTAGTTTTGTTTGCCCTGGGACTCAGTGTACATCAATCAGACTGGCCGCTAATTCATAGAAAACCTTCTGCCTCTGGCTTCCGAGTGCTGGAATTAAAAGGATCGCACCACCACGCCAGGTAAAACAGTTTTGATAGGTTTTCTTCCCTAAGAGCGTAGCTAGTTCTAAGCCCAAGGTTTTCCCCAAATTTGAAAGAACTTGGGGGGCAAATATCAAATTAAATAGAAAATCTGAGAAAGCCAATCCACAAGGACACTTAGAAATACTGCATGACCAGGCCACATCAGCACCACAACCTGTGTGACGTAGGTGCAAATCCTTGCTGCAATCCTAGAAGCCTGTCCTGGGTCTCTGGAGATAGGTGTGGTTTATTTGATCCACCTATGTATCTCCAGAGACTAAGATATCCAGAAGTCATTTGGCTGGGCGGGCTTTGAATTTCTTGGCTTTTCAGAATTCCACCTGCAGATTACAAAGCATTGGGATGAGTGGTGTGATGGGCATTAAAGGAAGCATCAACTTTTCAGTTTAGTTTTGCATACTTGAAGATTTTAATTTATTATTTGTGATCGAGGCTACTAGTTTTATGCATTATTAAATATATAAAGTGTAATTACTGTAGAGTGTTAAAATGTGTGTCATGTTAGGACCTTTTATTTAACAAAGTTTTTTAGTTTGACAAATGCAGCTTTATTCAAGAATATTATTACCCTCTGGAGACATGGAGTTGTATCAGATTCTGCCTTTAGAATTTAGAGGAGAATGCAATGAGCCATGGAGAATGATGGATATGCATTTAGTTCCTTAGAATCACAAAGGGATAACTGATTGATCCTTAATTTAGAACTGCAATTTGTCAGTACTTCATAGATGATTCTTAATGTCAGATGGCTCTGGAATAATTTTCCCTAGAAGCCAACAAAAGAGTTCACCACTTACCCTCTGTCTAGCCTTTTTTCTTTTCTGCCCCAGTAACAGAGTAAATACACGTGAATAACTGAAAGGAAGCTGGTAAAGGAAAGAGAAAAATAAACCCTGAAAGATGGATGGTTAAACTGTCAAAGCTCTTCCCCAGCCACAATACTCTTAACCTAATGATGTGCAAGCCTGAAACTAACTTTTATATTATAGATTCAGTTTTGTTTGAGATAAAGAAGAGTCTGTTATTTGACTCGAGAGCATAGTATTACTGAAAATACTGGATGTTTTAATAAAGAACAAGTTAACTTCTCAGTACTTGGACCATATAGGTTCTTTGTATAAGAATTTTATCAAAATAGCTCATTGTAAAGATCTGTATATTTAAATAACCTTTTGTTATTCTTTTAAATAGAGGTAGTGATTTTCTTCAAAATGCTTGAATAAGCATGTTTGTATATTCGTGTCCACAGTGGTATGATTCATATAGAAAACTGAAATGTCCTTTGACAGGTGAATGTATTGTAAATATATATAATGGAATATTGGCTAATCTCTTTAAAGGAAAGAAACTTGATAGGCTGTCTTGTGGTTAAACCCTAAATTTATGCTAGGTAAAGCCAGCTGATCATAAAAGATGGAAATAGTTTAATTCCTTTTATGAGATTCTATAGTAATTTACAGAGCCAAAAAGAGATTGGTGGTTTCCAACGGTTACAAGGAAGAAGTAATAGGAAGCCGTAGTTAACTGGGTAGAATTTGAGCTGGGGAAAACAGTAGTTTTGGAGGAAGGTGGTGGTGGATTTTGTGGATGTGTTTATACAACCATGTTATGCTACAGACACATTGTCAAAGGAATGTGCTCTAGATCTCAGAATTTTACTTCATTCATAATGCACCTTTCATGTTGACTATTTTGAAATAGTGATCAAGTAAAAACCTGAGTTTCTTGATTAAATGCAATGACAAGTTTTGGACTTGTGGCACTTACTCTATTTATTGATTTTATTCTCCCTATAGGACAAGTGTTGGACAGCCGAAATCAGTCCCCATGGAGATTGTCTTTTATAACAGATTTCTTCTGGGGAATAGCAGAATTTGTGGTTTTTTTGTAAGTATAAAAGCATTTAGTTGGTTGCATTTATACTTAAGCTGATCAAATTAAATTATATTATGATTAGTTATCTGAGAATTTCATACATGTATACAATGTATTTTGGTCATATTCATCCCCACTTTTCCTCTCCACTCCCCCACCAATGCCCCCTCCTACCTTCATTCTCTTGCTTCTCTTATTTTTGTGACCCACTACGTATATTTACTACTGGCCAAATGGGTGTAGCCCCATCCCGAGGAACATTGTCTCAGACACACCCCTAAAGAAAACTGACTCTCCCTCCCTTTAGCAATCATGAGCTGTCAACAGCGCTTCAGTTAGGAGTAGGGGCTTGTGTGCACCCCTCCACTGTTGACTGGTTTCAAAGAATTTGTGAGTGCAGCATGTCTAGGAAGCACTGCTTTGTCCCAGTTCTTCCAACCTCTGGCTCTTAGAACCTTTCCTCCCCCTTTTCCATGTTGTTCCCTGAGCTTTGGGGGGAGATTGTGTGATTTAGATGCCCACTGGTGGCTGATCATCCCTTTGACCAGCTGTGAGTCTCTGTATTAACCACAGCCCTCTGCTCGAAGAAGTGGAACACTACCTAAGTGCAGATATTTAAATAGCTTTACAAAGTAAAATGAAGGCCTCTTAATGATTCTAATGTTGAATTAGTCAGCTGTTAGAACCTGTTAGACCCTAATTCTGGGGTCCTGATGGGCCGATGGGAGAGCCCCGCAACACAAACACCAAAACCAGGAAATGCAACAAGCAAGAGGTGTTTATTGAACAAGTGCACTCAGGTGTCAGCGATCTCGGGGAAAGCTGCACACCCCTCAAAGGGTCCAGGCTCTTTTTATAGAGACAAGCCACAAATCAGCATACACTCATGGGGCACAAGGTGATTGATTACAAAGTATGATCTCATGTTTGAGAGATCACCCAGGTGTGACCTGTTCTTATTTAAGGGGTAAACCATAGAATGACTTGGAAAGTCCCCAGACTGTCCATTAGCCAGGAGTGACCCAGACAGGGCTGTTCATCTGGAATCATTTGTTACAGGGTTGGGGGCCTATTTCCTTGTTGTGGGCCAAAGCCTGTAAGAAACTTTTTTCATACTCTGGCTTTCTCTTTGCTGTACATTTAGAGCCTTCAGTTATTCCACAAAGGTTTGATGATTTAGTAACTAGCCCTATTTAACAAGGTCAGTCTAGCATATTATAACCACCAGCCCCATCACCTTAGTAACCTTTCTTGTTCTCATAATTTCTGTTCTTTCCTCCCATGTCAATGTCCATTCTTTATGATTTTCTATATTCCGCTTGCAAGAACTATTTTCTTGCCCCTTTCCCACATCCTTGTTCTGCAAACTAAAATCTTTCAAACCTTTATAGTAACCATGTCAGCTTATAGCCAGACCTATCTAGTCTACTGGCAGATTACTTTTTGGTGGTGGTGGTGGTGGTGGTTTTGGGGTTTTTTGGGGGTTTTTGTGGCTTTTGAGATCATTTGTTGCTATTATAGCCCTATGTAACTGGTTTAGTGTTACATAGAGTCTGAGTTGACCTAGAATTCATTGTAGTCTTCTGCCTTAGCCTCCTAAATGTTGAAATTATAGAAATGTGCCACCACTCCTGGGTCTGAACTCTTAATGAAGGATTAGAAGTCAACTACTTTATTAAAGTCAATAATAGAATATACAAAAATTTAAACTTTTTAGTCATTCCAAGAAGTTCTTTATTAAACAAGGGTTGTTTTTGTTTTGGCTTTTTTTTTTTTTTTTTTTTTTTTTTGCCTTTTGTCTTCTACAGGTTGCTTTTATCAAAATTACCAATCAGTTACTAACAAGTCTCATTTATCCTAAGTTTGAGTGTCCCATGGTTAGAAAGTTGTGATGAGTTGGTGTGGGATAATAGTCCCTTCCTTCATGTAGTGCTATGCTGGCTAGTTTTGTGTCAACTTGATACAAGCTAGAGTTTTCTGAAAGTTATCAATTGAGAAAATGCCTTCATAAGTAAAATCAGGCTATAGGCAAGCCTGTAGGGCATTTTCTTAATTAGTGATTGATGGGAGGATCCAGCCCACTATGGATGGTGACATCCATGGGTTCTGTGAGAAGGCAGGCTGAGCAAGCCAGTAAGCAGCATCTTTCCATGACCTGGGCTTCAGCTCCTGCCTCTAGGTTCCTGTCCTGCTTGAGTTGCTATCCTGATTTCCTTCAGTGATAGACTACTATGTAGAAGTGTAAGCCAAATAAACCCTTTCTTATCCAGTTTGCTTTTGGTCATGGTAACCCTAACTTAAGACAAGCATAATATCAGTAAATGTTTTCCTATTGCAGGGGATGGTGAGATGAGTGTCCTGTGGAAGGTGTACATCAGAGGAAGTTATCCAAGAAGGGACAGGATAAGGCCCTAACTTAAACTCACCAATGCAAAATTTAATGACTTTTACAAATTTCACCTAATCTGTATTGTTTTGCTTTGGTTAACACCCCCTTCTAAGAAATTAGAAAACTGGACTAGGTGTGGTGGCATACTCTTTTAATCCCAGCATCCAGAAAGCAGAGACAGGCAGTGTTCAAGGCCAACCTGGTCTACATAGAGTTATGGGTCAGCCAGGGCTATGCACATAGTAAGACCTTGTCTTTAGAAAAAGAAGAAAAGGGGTGGGGGAGGGTTTATTTTATTTTATTTTTTGGATATTCTGAGAAGCTTTGTGCCTCTGACTGTAATACACACACACACACACACACCTGGTGATGTCAGGTAGGCAGAGGAATTATAGGCATGGTGACTGTAAGACACTGGGGAAACAGTAAGCTAGTGGGGAGTAATGACTGTAAGGTACTGTAAAAATAGATTATGTTGAAACCTAACCAGAAGATTGAAACCGATGAGGACTCTGGTTTCCTGTTGTCTACAGGAGTTACTACTAGCAGATGAAGTAAAGGGACAGGTGGCGTTGGCATAGAACATGGCACATCCTGTTTTAGATGCATGCTAGATGTTGTCCAGCAGGAAATGTAGGCTTAGGCTTAAGCTATGTAAGTTGGGTTATTCAGATCTCAGAGATGATAATTAAAGCTATGGAAATATACTTGATAATTGTTACACAAGTGATACCTCTGTTGTTTCTGTCCCTTGTTTCAGTTTCAAAACTCTGCTTCAGCAAGATGTGAAAAAAGGAAGAGGCTACAGAAGTTCATCTAATTCCAGATTTGATGATGGAAGAGGGTATGTGTAGCCTTTCCCACTGATGTGTTTACTCCTTGTGTCTTCATTTTGTTATTTCAGATAGTTAGACTTATAGAAATTAAAAGATTAAGCCCCGCTTCACAAAATGAAAGGTTACTATAAATTAAAAGTCAAGTTGCCTCTTTATAAACAGTCAAACTGGCCAAACTATAAAGTCAAAATGGCCAACCTGAGGTTCTGGAGACTTCACCGAGCAGTCTGAGTAGCTGCTAATGCACAGTTAAGATGAAAAGCATGCTGGGCTGGGCTCAGGCTACTTAGGAGAAGCAGCTGCAGGTCACTTGCATTGTGTCTGATGGTGAGTGTTTGGGTTTCTCATTCCTGACTTAGAGTTCACTTTTCCATTGCTGTGACAAAGATGACATTGATCACAGCAGTTCGGGCAAGGAAAGCTTATTTCAGCTTTCAGGTTATAGTCCATCATCCAGAGAAGTAATCGAAGCAGAGACCATGGAGAAAGGCTGTTTTTCTTACACTTCCTTCCTCTGGCTTGCTTAGCTGTCTTTATTATACAGCCTGGGCCCACCTGTTCAGGAATGGCACCATCCATAGTGAGCTATTAGCAATTACCAATCAAAATAAATGCACCACAAAGATGCCCTGTGGGCCTGTCTGATGGAGGCAATTCCTCAGTTGAGAATCCATCTTCCCAGATGTGTCAAGTTGGCAGCCAAGATTTCTTATAACACCAATGTACATAGTGGTTGCTATTTTAAAAAGGTTGTGTTCCTTCTTTGGTTTTGTTTTTTGAGGGAGAGCTTTGCTTTGTAGCACTGTTGACCTGGTCCTGGCTATATATCCTAGGCTGACCTTGAGCCTCTGCTAATCTTCCAGACTTAGCCACCCAAGTGCTGAGATGACAGAGGCTACCATGCTCATTTTCTTATGTTTATTGCAAAGAGTATAGTATAGTGCTTAATAAAAAGCCAACTGGAATAAAGTTGGTCCACCCTTTTAATCCCAGCTCTTGGGAGCCTGAGGTAGACATAATCTGAGTTTAAAACTAGCTTGGTCTATGTAGCAAATTACAGGCTAGACAGGACTACATACTAAGACACTCTCTAAAACCAGAAAACCAGTTGAGTCTGCGTTTACCAAACAGATAATTTCTTTTCTATTAGGCCACCAGGAAACCCTCCACGAAGAATGGGTCGAATCAGTCATCTTCAAGGCCCCAGCCCTCCTCCAATGGCTGGTGGATGAGGAAGGTAACTTAAAATCTGAAATTATTTTGCAGGACTTCATTTGAGAATGTCTCCTTAGGAATATTTTGTTTAGGAAAACAGAAATTGTAGTGGTTTTTTTTTTTTTTAATGTTTATTTTTATGTTTTTGAGTGTTTTGCATGTATGTAAGTGCATTTGCATGTGTGCCTGGTACCAGAGGATGCCAGAAGAGGGCACTGAATCCCTTGCAGTTGAAGTTCTAAGATTTTGTTTTTATTTATATGTGTGTGTATCTGCATGTGTGTATGTATGCACATATGTGCAAGGGTGCCCATGGAGATCAGAAAAGAGTCAAGTCCACCTAGAGCTGGAGTTAGTTGCCAGCTGTGGTAAGCCACTTAAAATGGGTGCTGACCATCCAACTCTTGTCCTTTGCAAGAGCAGCAAGCACTCTTAACTGCCAAGCCATCTCTCTAGAAGTTGCATATTTTATACATTTTATTTAGAAAGATATATCCTAATGTGTAGTTGTTTTTTACTCTTTTGAGGGCCTGCCACCCAGCTCCCAAATTCTTTTTTATAAATGCCCATCCTTAGCTTGGCTTATTTCTTGCCAGCTTTTCTTAACTGAAATTATCCCATCTATCTTTTGCCTCTGGTCTTTTACCTTTCTTTAATTATGTATGTCTTTTCTTATTCCCTGTCTGAATGTGTGGCTGTGTGGCTGGACCCTTGAGTTCTCCTCATTCTTTTGATCCTTGATCTCTTTTTTTTCTCCTATTTATTCTCTCTACCTGCCAATCCTTTCTCCTGCTTTGCTATTGGCTGTTCAACTCTTTATTAGACCAATCAGATGTTTTAGACAGGCAAAGTAACACAGCTTCACAGAGTTAAACAAATGCAACATAAAAGAATGTATCACATCTTTGCATCATTAAACAAATGTTCCACAGCATAAACAAATGTAACACAACATTTATTCTTGAAAATTCACTTACTTTATTATAGAAATGTCAGTTGAGACATCTCCTAACCTTTCCTCTGGACTTCCTGGCTGCCAGCACCCTTCACTCCTCTTACCCCTCAAGAATTTCATGTTGAGATGACTGTGTGTGTGTGTGTGTGTGTGTGTGTGTGTGTGTGTGTGTGTGTGTGTGTACATCCCAATTTAATAAGCGTGAGCTAATTGTTTGAACTCCTTTTAGGTAAATGTCTGCTCTAAGAAGCAGACAACTAGACATACACATGTGTAGAAGGAAGCCATCAAGAGGTGAAGAGCAGCTCACAGGACAAGATGGTGTATGTCTAAACAAGAACTGTTCTGTGTCCTCACAGATAAATGAGGTCATGCTGGGAATTCCCTCTACAGGATCTGGCCTGACTGACATGCAGTTCTATAAATGTAGATGTTTGTCTCCTTACCTTTTTTGTATAGTTTACTAAAGTATTAATATAGTTTTAATAAGTAAGTATTTTTAGGTTGCTAAACTTGATTCTTCATCTTCATATGATTCAGCCCAAAAATCCCTGATCTGGAAGAAATAAAGGCTATGTATTTAGTTCTGTCTTTTTGTTTGGTTGGTTGGTTGGTAGGTTGATTGTTTTTAGTTTTCACTTTTTCAAAACAGGGTTTCTTTGTGTATCACTGGCCATCCTGGAACTTGCTTTGTAGACCAGGCTTAGCTTAAATTCAGTCTGCCTGCCTCTGCCTACCAAGTATGGGGATTAAAGGTGTGCACCAGCACCACCACAACCAAGCACCACCACCACCTGGCTGCAGTGAATTTACTCTGTTAATGTTGCCTTTTTCAACTTCTGCACTGCAGTACTGCTCAATGTTATCTTGCTCTTATTTACAAATAAACCACAATATAATTATTTTAGTACTATACATATTTTTGCTTTTGAATTTTTATGTTTTATTTTGTGAGTACATCTTGTTTTATTTACTACCAGATATTTATAAGGTCACAATCATCAAAATTGAGCTGCAAGTGACTGACTGTGTGCTGGCCAATCCTCAAAACAGTGGACTTCTAATGCTATCTTGACTAACAGGAATTTGATCCCATTGCTTAAGATCTACCTGTCTACTTTCAGTCCCATCTGGATACCCCTTTCCTGTTTTTCCTGAAATAGCCCTGTTCATGCCTTTCCTACTGGGTACTCCCAGTTTTTGAAATTCTTAGTTGACTTCTTTGTGGCTGTGATAAAGACTGTCTTTATCAGGGAAGTTAGGACAGGGACACTGTTTTCTGGCTTGTTCCCCATGCTTGCTTAGCCTGGGGTGGCACAAACCACAATTGTCCCACACATAATCAAGAAAACGTCCTAGAGACTCATCTTAGTCTGTCTGATGGAAGCATTTTCTCAAGTGAGGTTCCTCCTCCCAGGTGGTTTTAGGTTAAGTAGATTAAAAAACAAAAAACGGGGATTAATCTATAGCCCAAGCTAGCCTTGAACTGGAGCTTGAGCTCCTGTCTCCACCCCTGACCTACTGAGATTACAATTTGCTTGGCCTACCCTATTCCAGTGAACAGGAACCACATGAAATAGCACTGAAATATTATAAAAATGAGTAATAGTATGTGTCCAGTGTACATGTATTGAAACCAAAATATTTAGGTGAAAGCTATGTCTACTTATCAATAAGCAATGGGAGTGTAGTATCACAAGCAGCAGTGTTCAAAGAGAAGAAAGGTGAGTATAAGATTAGAGTAAGAATGGTTTTTGACTACTCAGTTTTATGTTTTTAGTTCTGACAAGGTGTCAACAGATACCTGTGAGGACCCACTGGAGCCCAGCAGCTCCTGTGACTCTGTGGCTGTGCCTGGCAGAGACAAACAACATGGCCTCAGGTGATAGTGTAACGCAGCTTCGCTGTGCTTGAGACTTAAGCCTTCTGACTGGGGATTGCTGTTGCTGCATGCTTCCTCTCTCAGGACTTACCCAGAGTCATGAAGCTTGTACTTAGCTGATCTGTTGAGGACTATTTAGCATGTAATACAGGATCTACCTCTCTTGTATATCCTGTATTTGAAACTTGTCTTTATTCAGTAGCTTATGACTTTTGAGTTATGCTTTGTCAGTTAGAAGAAGCCATCAGGAAGGGTGGTCCATTCTGGACAATGATCTTTTAATTTTTTTATTCTGGTTTACTGAGACTCTCATGCAGTTGAAGCTAACCTTCAGCTCAAGATGCTTCTGCCCTTCTCAGCCACATGGGATGACAGGGATGCTCCCGCACCCAGCTGAGATGAATTTATCTGTTTTGTCACCATAATTCCGAGGCTGACGGTGGCACACTCCTCATGGAATTTACATTCTAGTGTTGGAGAAAGTACATAGGTAAAATAACTACAGACTACAGACAAAAGGTTCATGTGTCTAAGGAACTAGAATGAAAGGATACCCATGGGGCCTAAAGTGATCCAGCTGAGGGAAGAATCTTCCAGGCAAAAGAAGCAACAACAGCCTGAAGATGGGAAGTGCTTGATATCAGAAATTAAGTGTATGGGCTGGTGATATGGCTGAGCAGGTAAGGACAGTCACTGTCAAGCTTGGCTGATCTGAGTTCTGTTCCTAGGACCAGAGTGGAGAAAGGACTCCTTAGAGTTATCCTCTGGTGCTCCACATATGCAAGTTAGCATGAGTGCGCACACAAATGACAAGACCAATAAATAAATAAATAAATAAATAAATAAATAAATAAATAAATCAAGTGTAGCTGAATATACCACAACCATGGAAAGGAGGAGCACAGGTAACAAGTGTGGCTGAAGGGCTGCCCAGAGGGTAAGCACGCGCTGTGCTCTCTTGACTTGAATTCAGATCAAAGCACCCACATAAAAAAGGCTTGAGTAAGGCCTTGTGCCCCAGTGTCACCTGTGGAGACAGGACTTGTGCTTCCTGGCTGTCAGCTTAGTTCTAGGTTTAGTGAGAAACTTTAATAAATCAGGAGAGCCTGGTGTCCTGGCTCTGGGTGTATCACACACAGAAATACAGCAGAACTAAATCAAGTATGGTCTAGAAGGTAGTTGGCCTTAAACTTGAGGCCATCCTCCTCAGTGTTGGAATTGCATGTGCGTACTGCCACAACAGACTAATTGGCGATAAAACAATGAGCAGCTGTATAGATGGATTATCAGGAACCGAACTAATAAACAGAATTCAGTTTAGAGGTTGCTGCCATTATCCAGCAGGAAAGGACTAGATAAATAAGATCACATTCAAAGAAGTGAACCAATTCACATTCTTCAGTCTCATGATGGCTCGGGGTTGAAGCAATGGGTGAGCCTCCAGATTACATATCTGGTCTATTGTTGGGGTCATCCCCTGCTCTACCTCCTACAGGGAGTGGGTATTAAAAATTCAGTATTTAAATTTACAATGCTTTGTAGAAGTCTTATATACAGATATCAAGTAGGCTATCGATCTGGATCTAAGGAAGAGACCCAAGCTGGAAACAATATATTCAAGAATCATGGATAAAGCCATGAAATTCAAAGCAGTTAATGTGTCAAGAAGAGACCTAGTCCCAGAGAACCCAATATCAGAAACCGGACTGAGCAGGGCCAGCAAACTGAGAACTTGGGAGTACTCTTGCCTGTGAGTGAAGACCTTCAGGGTTGAAATGGGACTGGTTAAGTTCAGACTCACACCAAGAGCTCAAAATTTATTAGGGTTAGATGAGACAGCACACACCTTTAATTTCTGGTTTGTATGGCAAGTTCCAGTCTAGCCAGAGATAAATAGGGAGACCCTGTCTAAAAAATAAAGTTTAAAAAGCAAAAGTAGCCAGGTGTTGGTGGCTCATGCCTTTGATTTTAGCACTTGGGAGGCAAAAGCAGGCAAATCTCTGAGTTTGAGGCCAGCCTGGTCTACAGAGCAAGTTCCGGGACAGGCTCCAAAGCTACAGAGAAACCCAGTCTCAAAAAACCACCAAAAAAATAAAAAATAAGAAAGAAAAAGCAAATATAAAAAAGTTAATAAATGAATAAATAAAATTATTACACTGAGGATGTAGCTCACAGGTAAA